CCATCATCATTTTCTTAAAATGTTAACGAGGGAAATGTTAATCATTTCATCCTCTTTGTAATAAGCTAATATTCAAAAGTGTATCTTAACGCGATTAGAGAAGCAAAAAGGGAAAAATCGTATCGAAAACCAAATGATGACGAGACTTCGTCTACGGATAGCAAAAGTATCCTTCTCAGTTCCAGGATACTCCGCATTATCAAAGTAAGGACCTCTTTCAGGATCTTACTTTGAAACAATTATTTAAGCACTATAACTTTTTTGAAGTGAAAAATTCTTTAGGCGCGTTTTGCACTTATTTGTGGAGAATTAATTGATCCGTCAGATTTCCGAAGTTGTAAAGCTCGCTTAAAGTCGGCTATGTTCGGCTAATCAAATGTTTTTATATATGGATTAAAATATCTGAGAAACTAAAAATCGGGCCAGCTAGGGAATTATTCAGCGTTTCATCCTCTCTTTAATAGGCTATAATTCAAAGTTGTATCTTAACTTGACGTCGTGTTAGGGAGGCGAAAATGAAAAGATTCGTAAGCCAAATGATAACGAATTTAGTTGAACATATGAATGAAAATATTTCAGATATTTCAAAAATCGGACCTGTATACCGCAAGGAGGGGAAATATTCAGTATTTCATCCCCTTTGTAATGAGCTATTATTCAAAACGGTATCTTAACGCGACCCCATATTAGAGATGCGGAAAATGAAACAAAATCGTGTCGAAAACCAAATGATAACGAGTTTTATTGGAGATATTGATTAAAATATCTCAGAAACTAAAAATCAGAATTGTATACTGTAAGCGAGAGAAATGTTCAGCATTTCATGTTCTTTATAATGAGCAATTATTTATAATTTATATTTCATATTATTAATCTCGCATTTTAATTTTAAGGTTTTAAAGTTGAGGTTTAAAAGTTTCAAGTTTTTTTTATTTTATTTTTTTATTTTTTTTTACCTATGGTATTGACTAATAAAACAAAGAAGGTTTAACAGTTTCCAATATAAATATACGGTAAATCCAACCTTTTTTATTTTCATTATATGGTGTCTTTTTCACGATATTATGATCTGCAGAGAATTAAGCTCCTGTTATTTATACTACCTCATAGGTTATGCTGTGGTACTATCTACAGTTTATATTTGGCGTTAATTTTAATAACAATATGCAGGACTACCGACAGGCAAACCACGTTTAAAGGTTATCTCCAAATGTGCAAAGATTGACAGCCAAGATTGCCGAAACACGTATCACCTTTGAGGAAAAACCTGGTGTTTGCTGACGGGGAAGTAGGATAGGCTTTAACACTCACACATCACAGATAATGACATGTTTTTCTTGAACACAATACAACTAAAAACAATCTAAGATTAAACGCTTTCTAGAATTATGAACCTTGAATTTAATCTTACTGCATGTCGTTCGCATCAGCTGAGTTCTAGACAGACCAAGATTTAGCGGAAGCCTTATTCAAACAGTGTCGCAATTTTTCTTAATAATAAATGTAGAATATTCCAACGAGTTTTCCTCATATATATATGTGTAGATAACATAACGCATGTTTTTTTCACTTCTATCTAAACCTTAGTTAATTTTTTTTTATCTATGGTATTGACCAATGTCAAAAATTAATAATACCATAAATAACGTTTTTTCTTATTTCATTTTAACATTAAACAACGAAGGTTGAACATATTCCAATAAAAATATACGGTCATTTATAACATAACGTATCATCCGTTTTCACTTTGTATTCATTATACTTTTTAACCATGTCTCAATATTTTCTAATATTTAAATCTAATTTTCTTACATATGTACAACTAAATATAATTATAATTATTCATATTTTTTTTCCTGTCTATACTTCTTAAGTAGTTCTGCAATGTACGGTCTCTTATTTCTGTATTTATATTTTACTTCTATGTTACTTCTTTAATTTTTGTTTTTATTCACATTATACTCTTATCTATAATTTATTAATTCTATTTTATATGTATATGTATATATTTATAATTTATTATTTCATAGATATAGTATTTTTCCCCCTTGTATCTATCCATATCTTCAAATTCAGCAAATTCAGGTCAGAAAAATTCCCCAATACCTACCCTTATGCTTATTTTCCAGTTCTAAGTGAAACTCCTAGCTGAACACATCTGTAAGTCTCTATTTTGGTTTATCATTTTCAATAATGAAACATTGTGATCGACCAAAAAATTCAAAAACATAACCCCCTCTCAAAATTTGAGGTTTCACATTTCAAGATGCGTAGAATTCGAAAAACGAATACAAATTTTTTTGTCCGTCCGCCGTCCGCGCATTTTCTCCGAAACTACTGGACCAATTTGTTTCAAATTCTGATATAAAATCAGAGGTCACCCGAGGATGATCGTCCTTCATCGACATTACTCTCCGCCTTTAACTTTCAAAATGGCGGCCGAAAAACCTGCGTTGATATAGACTGTAGCTCCAAAAGGAATGTACAGATTTCAATGAAACTTCGCTAAAGTCATTTTCTCGACGCCCTTTAAATTTATCTATATTACATACTTCAACGAAAAGAAGCTGGAAAAAAAGTTACGAGGGATGTTAAAATTAAATTCCGAATAACTCAAAATGTATTCACTTTTTTGTTGATATTGTATATTATTATAATTTGGAGCAAACATATGGTCTGTAGATGTTTTTTATATGTTCTACTACAAAGGTTATATCCTTAGTTTGGTTTTTAAATTTTAAATGTGTTACTGAAATAATGCTATTTTTTTTTTAGCATATTACTACTGATTAAAGAAAAACAGTTTAGTCTAATAAATGGAATCACCTTTTTTTCTTTGTAACTCGGAAGGTAATGTTACTTTAGATGTATAATCGTTTGGAGATAATAAACCATTGTGAAATCATTTGCAGCCTTTTTATTTTTTATACTTATTTAGTTTTGGTTTTCTTTTCTTTCTCCACTTTCTTATATGTCTATTATTTCATATTACATCCTTTTTCCTTTTCATTAAATCTCTCCAGTAGATCTGTAGAAGTATATTCACATTTGCATATATTATATATTATACTATAACAATTGTTAGCATCTAGTTACTTCAGTTTAGGATCTTGTTACTTAGCTTACTCCATTTATATTTTAATGTACTAACTGTTTATAATTTTAATAAGCTTATTCACATTGTTTATAATTTTTTTTTTTTCTAAATATTATGTAACTTCCACAATTCTCTATTTTTTTTTGTATTTTGTCCGTTCTAGCTCTAAAGAAGACCTGCAAAGTCGGGTCGAAACGTTGGCTTTCAATAAAATAGTTTTACCACTATTTAGCTTATTTATGACCGCAACCCCGGACAACCTCCATCCTTTATAATGCAACGGTCAACTATTAAATATTCAATACAACGCATGTTTTTATTTGTATTTTCTCATAAAATAATATGCATTCGAACCAGTTATGTAATCGGGTATGAATATTGGTGTCCCCGAAGTACCTCAGTATTCATCGCAATTTCAAATGTCGCTGTGATACAAATGATAATTTCACGCCTGCTCTGTGACAAAACACATTTTGCCAAACATAATTGCAGTGTTTTTAAACTAATTTAAAAGCAGGCGAACCTGAATGAGAAATAGAAATAAGAATAGAAAACAATTACTTTACATTTGATACGCTGTAACTAGCTTGAAATAATTGTTGTATTACGTTACATTCTTGAGATGTAAAATAAAGAAATATATCTAGGATTAAAATTTAAATCGTACGTGCATAATGTCTAGTAAATTATTTTAGTTGTTTATTTGTTGCTATAATGTTATTCCATGTTTCATCATTTTATCTTTATGTTGTTTAATGATAGCAAAGAAATAATATAAACACATTAATCATACATACTCCACGATTAATTATTTACTGTAATTCCTTATTTATTTTTTAATTTATACAGAATGATGATAATCTGTCACCCGCACAATAATTATAGCGAGGTATGAACACATTCACACCGTATATACAGAAAAGATAAAATTAACAAAAGTAAAATAATAATCAAAAACTATATACAATAAAAACTAAAATAATCTAAGGACAAGTAAATTAAAAACATAAAAAGTATTTAAACAGTTTTTCTGGGTCAAGCATGATTCTCTCCAATTTTTGTTTTGAGAGGAATTATTTTCAAAATATAAAATATATAAATGTTTTTTTTAGTTATGAAGAAAAATATTTTTTTTCTTTTTGAAAAATATATTAGATATATAAAACAAAGGTGCACATTTCGTAATACATTTTTTTTTAAAATATATATATATATATATGATCATTTGAAGAGGCCTTAACTGGATGATATGAGCTGGAATTCTAGATGATTTTTTTTTTGTAGGACAAATGTAATAAAAATGTATAAATAAATTTTCAATCAAACTTTTAGCACATTTTCTTGGTTTATATTGTTTTTGAAAACAAAATTGTTGGTTCAAAGTGCATTGTTGGGGATCGTAAATTTATCTCCTTCCAAGAAAATTTTGCTGTTAAATATATTTTAAAATTCAATTACCCTCCGAGGCGTCTGAAAAGAAGATGGCCTCGGGACCTTCTAATATAGAAATATATGGAGTGCTACCAATGGGTAGTTTCTCCTCATGTTGTACATGTCATATTACTTGTTCATATTTACTTGTTGTATTTATTATTAATTACAGTTGTAAATTTCGTTAGTAAAAAAAAAAAAAATTCAATTAGCTTAACTTAAGTAAAACATTCTCGAAACCAATAAATTTTCCAATCAGTGACAGAGTTCTTCTACTGCTCACGCTTTCATTAATTTGTTTTTTTTAAATCTATAATAAGTCTTTCGATTATTCCTGTCAAATTGACATAGCAAAATCATTTTTTTTTTCAGATAACAAAATATTCTAGGAGAGACGGGGAACTTTTTGGGGAAGTCGTAACGACCCAACAACAGCCATTCTTTGAACGATGATGCGCTGTTCGCAGCCGACATGATCGACTCCTTCGGAATGCTCATCCTTCCGGTAGTTAGTGCCACCACAATCTCCACCACAGCTTTAGCCGAGGTACCTTCGACGAGGTACCACCTGTTGGTGGATTTGCCAACTTTGTTACCTCTGCTTCTTGTATATAACAGAAAATAAACTCAATTATACAATTTCCAAAGGCACATTGCTTCCAATTTGACAAATAAATCAATCATCAATCATTGCATCCTGAATGAATCACAAATAAAAGGATAAATCACCTAAATGTCAATGGAAAATTAACGTTACGTCAATTAAATAATAGGTAGGCAGACCAAAGTGAATACACCTCATACCAACACGGCACACTATAAGACACCTCAGCCATGTATGGGAGGAAAATGAAAACCGAAGGTTAGTACCAAGCATTCGAGCATACTGTAAATGCAATACCGAAAATACCCGAATATTATCAAAGTATTATCAATCGTCATCATACACGAGTCCTCGTGATATATTATCGTACGAAATATGCGGAAAGAGATTCGTTCAGGAACAACTGTTTTTCTCTGGCATTTTTTTTTTATGATGGCGGAAAAACCCACTCAAGATAATACACAAAATTACATCCATTATTAATTATACGAAATAGGATAAGGATCGATTTAAAACTTGAATAATTTCTAGCGTCGTAATTATAGATTTTGCTTATATATAATAGCTTTGGTAGATCTAAATGGTAGTGCGGTTTTGGGCTGAAGGTCCTCTATGAAAATAGATAATTTTTTTTCTATAGATAAATAATAATGAAAAATAATAAAACATTAAATAAAAAATAATAAATAAATGATTTCTCCATATTTTTTTTACGTGAGTATTAAATATACACAAATTTATTTAAATAATAACGATAATGAGTCAAGAAAAGACTAATTTCTAAACGTGTTATATATACAGTATTGTTCCTGGAATTATAATTTTTTTATCTTTGTTCTATCAGGCCTTAAAGGACCACTTAAATTATCATTTCATTAGGCAGTTCCATTAATTATCATTATACCATCCAGAGTAATTACCGTTATAAAAACTAAATAAAATATAAAAAGCCCCTTCTCCACACAATATTATATCCTGAATCCGTTACTGTGGAGATTTCCATTTTGGTTGTTCGATATCATAAAAACTATGTTAGTTTCGATATTTATTTTCTAGTAAGAAATGCAAATTTCGACAAATAATTTACATACATTTTGATTAAGCCATTTCATACGTTATTTATACGTAGAAGATGAAGTTGACGCGGTAGAGATGAAGTTTAAACCCAACCGAAGGTAAACAATTTTCTATGAAACGTTGGATATCTAACATCTACTTTCAGATACATTAGAGTTACTATGAAATTCAATCTACAGTGAGTTTGAAATGATCTTGAAACTACCCATAATTTTAGAGTAGCGATTCGTAACTGACTCATTAAATATATTTTAAATAAATACTCTTCGGTCTTATGATAAGCATGTTTTCTGTGTACCTGCTCAGCTGTTCGAATGCACTCCCTCAGCTCTGTTATTATTGTCACTACCCTCTCCTTCAACATGTATCCATAAATGTATCCATGTATTGCCAGTGAGTGCTGCGATGTTTCTGATCCATATTCGCTAGATCTTGCATCGACGATGCCAAAACAGACCAGGTTTTAGAAATCTATCAATAAATCGATGCCTCTGGTTATCGATAATTTATTATCTACTGGCAGGAATAAATCGATATTATAGATAAACGTTTTTTATGCTTCATTATCAAATGATAATATAATAAAGATGCGTTAAAGGATGTTTTGAAGTCCTTTCAGGATAAATTAAAATTGGTTAATTTTCGAATTTTCGTTTTAACTTTATAGAGGCTGGGTGAGCCTGTGGAAGGTCGGATCCACAGTTAATTTAACAGAATAAATAATTGATTTCCACAACGGGACACGAACCTAGGATCTGAGCTTATTTACACACTGTGCTATCCTTATAAATTATTGATAATTTATTTTTAGTAAACTGAGAATAACTAAAAAAAAAATTTTTCACTCGTAATCACTAGCGAATAGGAATGCAAGGATAAAAATAATATTAAAAAAGTAAAACAAATTACAGCAAGATTATATACCTTCAAGGAATTCGATTACTGGTTAATCGAGATCTTCCAACTCCTATTGAAATGTTTCCGTAATCACTGATTGAATTGAACATGATATTTTATTTTAATAGAACAAGAATTCACAGTTTTTTTCTTTAAAATTATCCCTTTATTTTTGGGAGATTAGATAGTCTTATTGATAGTAACAACTTATCGATATTATTTCAATAACATAATCGAAATATGCCAAAGAGATATGAGTGACAAGCAGGGAGGGAAACCGATTAATGGATTTCTATTTACTAGTCTCTAAAATCTCACAGGTTTAACTCATTTACTGAATAACAATAAATAAAACTATAATTTAATATGAATTTTTTCTCATAAAATGTATTCAAATTATTTTAATTTTCTATTGACACTAGGAAAGTAAATCCTAACCTATTCGTTTCACTTCCTCGATCTATGTGGCAATAAATGTTCAAGAAGAGAAAAAAAATTGTAGACAGCGCGAGTGTACAGCTTCTTTATATAAATTTTAATATTCACTTTAAATGTCTAATAAATGCAAATGAGTGAATAATAAATTTAATTTTTCATATATTTTTTCTTAAAGGAAAGCCCGCATTCATAGAATTGGCTATAGCCCGACATAAATTAACATGCATCAATATTAAACAAATTAAATAAATTTCTCAGTTTATATCAAATTTAGTTTTCAAATATAAAATATTTATATCGAAATAATACATTTCTGGTTCAAAAAATTATTTTGATATTTTTAATACTTGAAAAGAGAAGGAGTGCAAATTTGGAACGAATGTACCTCCCTACCGTATCGACAGTTTCGAAATATAAGAAATAATATTAAAAAAATAAATGACCTCCAAGTTTAATTAATTAATCTATTAGCAACAATTAAATATTTCTATTAATAAAAAATTAATAAATGAAAATTCATTAATAGGAACTAAATTGCTTTAAAAAAAACCTGTGCCACTAAAAGCCATGAAGGGTTGTCAGTTCACTACTATTTGGAAAAAAAAACACGGTTTCTACGATTGTGCAAGGAAGTGATTTGACCGAGATCACGCTCAACCGCCAGGTTTTCCAGGGATTCGAACCCACTGAGCTAAGGGATCTGCATGCACTGAGCTACTCCACTCCCATCTTAAAATATATATATATATATATAAATGAAAGAGAATCATTATTAATACATTTTGAAAAATCTATTACAATATTAAATATTATTATTGAATGAACAATAATATAAACAATTCTATTACTATGAACAAAAATTGTTTTAATTCTCAAGATAAAAAAAAAATTAAAAAATCAAAAAAATCAAAATTGAATGAATAATTAATTATTGAAATCAATAAAATTTGTTAAGAATGGTGGGTTTACGGTTGACTGTAGTGAATAATTGAAGAGAAGAATAGTTGTGGTGTTGAGTCAAATTGAAGTGGTAAAAAGTAAATAATTTTATTTTTTTTTTACATTCGCTAACGTTTCGGCCCGAGTTTAGACCTTCACCAGGGCTGGGAAAAGAACTAGATAAGAATAGCTATAATAACACTCAATAATACAGAATTAAGATTAAAAAAAAAGGTGATAGGTAAAGACTCCTTTTTGTAGTAGAACAACTTAACGTAAAATGAAGTAGATAGAGTGGAAATTAAAGTAAAACAAAGTAGGTAGAATGATAGCAATAACAGAGAACTAAGAAATAAATAATAATAACTGTAACAAAGCAGAGACCAATAAAATAAGCAAAATAAAATATAAGGTAACATAAGGAAGGAAAATGGTAATCTAGAATAAAGTGTAAAACAGAGAAAAGAAATATGAAGTTAAAAAAGGAAATAATAGATATAAATAGAACATTAAGGTATTGTAAAATCTATCAAAAATATAATGTAAAAAAATGTATGAGGAAATGTATCATGCATAGAAAATAGAGATTGAGATATAGAAAATAGAATGACGTGAAGGCCGAAGAAAAGGAGAATAAGATAATAAAAATAAAGAAACCTGCTGTACACGAAGTAAAGTCAGACAAACGCACTTATAGCGGTAGGGAGGGGGGCTGCCAGATGGCGCCCTCTCTGACCGAAAAATGAACATATATATATATATATATATATATATATATATATATATATATAAAACCCACATAATAATAATAAATAATAATAATAATAAGGCTTAGCGAACCCGAAGGTTCGATGCCGACACAACCAATCGCTTGTTACACACCTCCCTCCACCGTTCGCCGTCCAAACCCAGTCCCTTCAGATCGGCTTTAATGCAATCTTCCCACCTTCGCTTCGGTCTACCCCTCGGACGCTTACCATTCGGCACAGCAAATATTAACCTTTTAGGAATTCTCTGGTTACTAAGCCCAACAACTTTACAAGCCCATTTGATTCGCCGCGATGAAATTACCTCAATTATATTACCCGGATACAGCTCACGCAATTCGGCGTTGTGTAACCGTCTGAACTCTCCGGTTAACTCATCCTTCTTCGGTCCGAATATTCTACGCAATACTTTATTTTCAAAAACCTTAAGACGCTGCTCATCCCTTAATGTAAGCGGCCAAGTTTCGCATCCATAAAGAACTGTAGGCAAGATAATTGTTTTATAGATTCTAATTTTTAAGTTTCGGGACAAGAGGCGCGAACTAAGTAGTTTTGTCACAGAAAAATGATAAGCATTCCCCGCCTTCAGTCTAACCTTAATCTCTTCTATATAAAACCCACATAAAGAGAATTAATTACGCAAAACTTTCTATAAATTATGTTCTAAAATACTCTCAATTTTACATGCTCACAAGTAAAGCAGTTGTTCTTGTAGACATTTTGATTTGTTTAATTACATTTTTTTAAATATCAGGATTTCGATATTTTCTCCGACTATCGCTAGGTCAAGTCAAGGTTTGGTAGACGCCTCTTCAAGAGGAGATGCCAAAGCTCGGGTTCATTGATATTTCTGAAGATTAATTACGTGAAATAATTTTTCTGATGACGAGGAAACTGCCGATTACTGTGCGAGTTCGAAGAAACATTGTTTTCCTGTTTTCTAGGAAGCGTACGTAACTATAATTGCGATGCGGTGAGTTAGACAATAGAATATTAAGAAATGTTTATAGCCAAACCTCTTTAATTGTTATGTTATGGCACGAAATGTAACTAGAGTTACTATATTAAGGTAAAGTTGGTTACTAATATAGTTACTAAGAGTTACTAAAAGGGTAAATAGGAGAGTACTGGGACATGAAGACAAACCCGTGGACATGTTGCGAAATGTCTTGGGATTGCGAGTTACGTCCGGTTTAAGAGCTGCTACCTTGACCGTCAAAGCGACTCATGAATTATTTATATCGATTCTATTAGTGCCCCAGGCGTCCGCTCCGATAATAATCGATATCTCAGCCAGGATCGAGCCTGCTCCGCGTCGATGTAACTTTAAAATAGAGCTACGCCTCTTTAGTTCCATGGACCGGCTGCCTCCAGCAGTTCGCAGTGTCATTATAACTTATTAATGGCGGCGAATAAATAACTCGATTCGATGGCTTATTAACTTTTTTTTTTAATTTTTTTATTATTGAAATTTACAACTGTATTAAATGACAAATACGAAATATGTAATTAGTAACATGACATGTACAACTGAAACTACCCATTGGTAGCACTACAATTATATTTATATATTAGAAGGTCCCGAGGCCATCTTCTTTTCAGAGGTCTCGGAGGGTTATCAGGAATAGAAGAGGAAGCAAGATTGGAAACAAGAGGGTTCGGTTGGTTCAGAAGTTTATTATGGAAGGATAGGTATCTGGATTGAGCTAAAAACATATAATATATTAAGGTCGTTATGGATGATTTTATTTGTGACAAAGTAGGTAGCATTGAGGATTTTACGACGGATTTTGGATTGTAGGGATTGGATACGAGAGGAATTCGATGGTTTAGTAGAGCCCCAAAGCACGATCCCGTAAGTCCAAATAGGCCTTATTATAGTAATATGTATGAGCCTTTTGTAAATAGTTGGAAGTTTAGAAAGTTTGTCTAGTAAGTGATGCTGTAGTCGTTATTAACTTTAATTAATTTTCCTATAATAGTTTTCATTAAATATATTAAATGTAGTTCAAGAATGCCTAACCTTTTTCTACTTAAAGAAACATTAATTGATTACTAGTCAAGCTGATAGCACAAATTTTGTGTTTTTAAAAAAGTTTGATATTGTTAGTAATAATAAAAAGGAATAACTTTAACAAATAAAAAAATATTTCGATTGTGCTGCTGTACTACGGCGATTATTCGAACTATCATTTCCCATACTAATTCCAATTCTGAAATCTTAATTTTGTATTAGGAGAGTAGGAGGTTACAGGAGCTCAAAAAATATGTAATTAATTGAACAGTGTATAATTTGTGAAATAGGGGTTGGTAAAAAACATAAATGCAAAAGATAATGTGATATATGCACGGCTTTTCATTGGCCAATTTATACACTCCTAAAACAGACTTCATCTTGTTTCAAAATTCTCTTTTTAACTGTAATGTAGATTTACCAAGGAAGACAATATGAAGCTCGCACCTTAAAATTGTAGTTTTAGAAATTTTTGTTTTTCTCTTTTACATTTGATCCTAATATGCATCGCCTTAAAGTGAAGTTAAATTGTTGTTTTCAAGAAGACGGTAGTTGAAAAATACGAGCGGAGCTATTTCGGGACGGTAATGAGATTATAAAGGCAGTAGCGGCAGATTGAGCATGTCCCTGCATAACTAGGAGCTGCTCAAGTGGCATGCCACTCGTCTTATGTCATGCCACGGTGCGGAGGACTCTGCCACTTCAAGGTCTTCTCTTCCCTCGTTTTAGCAGTACTGATAAAATACCTTCAGTCAAATAGTGTATGGCTACTATCTCTAAATGAATATATACGAATATATAGTTCGATATATATATATATATATATATATATATATTTGTTTTTTCCTCTTGTCGTTACTGACCATGTAGATGTTTTGCCGCCTTAACAAGCCTCCTCCATCTCTGCCTGTCTTGGGCTATTTCTTTCCATTCATCCGCAGGCAGCTCTTATATTAATATTTATTGATTCTATCTATCCATCTGCTTTTTGGCCTTTCACGTGGCCTTTTTCCTTCTATTGAGGCATTCTTTGTTATGCAGAAGCTTCCAGATCGGTTGCTACGAGTTACATGTTCCGCCCATCTTAACTCCCGTGCCCTCATATCATGGGATATTGATTGAACAGTTTCTTTAAGCAGTTCTTTATTAGTCTTTGTTCCCCATATGTTAGTACTCTGATCTCAGATCGCTCCAGTTGCCGTAAGATTTCTCTCTCAAATCTTTCAATACCCTTTTCGAGCTGGTCAGTATCTAGATCTCACAGCCATATATTAGAACTGGCTTTATCACAGAATTGTATACCCTTAATTTGAGATTTATTGATATTTTTCGGGATTTCAATATCTTTGAAAAGAAAGCTCTGTATGCGCTAGTCTATTTCTCACAATTGGTCATTAATTGAGGTCATTGTGGACCCGAGGTATTTATATATTTATAGAATGTCATCGAACATTAACTACAGAATTCAAAAGTATGATGATTCATTTTCTTATAATTTTAATATCAATTAACATATTTAAGTTCCTTGATCAGTCTTGAAGACTCTATTTTTTTTTGTCTTTAATTCTCTATTCACACTTGTCACAAATGAAAGATGCACTAAGAACAATAACAATTATAATGGATTTGAGGCGAAGGAAAAGATGATACTCACCAGCACCTCTTCCCGGTCACGTTTAAGTCTGTCTATTCGACAAGGGAGGTCCCTCATCCAACTCTTTCTGAGTTGCCTTTAGCCATATCGCCAGTGAGTTTCTATAGGTATATTTAGTAATTTTTCTATTGTAAATATCTCATTCTTACTGGAAGTCCTTACTAAATTCTTCTACTTTCTATCTTCACTTCTTCCATAGATTTTCATAAATTGCAATGACCCGTTAAACAAATATACGCTTTAGGTTCATAATTACCTATATTTTGAAATCTATAATTTTTATTTGAGAATAAAATGTATAAGAGAAGCGGTTTTGTGAATTATAGTCGTTTTTGTCAAGTAAAAAAACACGCCTAAACGGAAGTAGACCTAATTTGATAAAATCTTGGACCGAAAATTTGATATTGGACCATGGACAAAATCAACATTCTTCCAATAGTACCAAACTTCCTATTTTAAGCCAAATGAAACCAGTCATTCACGAAATATAATTATCCCTCAAAAAAAAAAAAAAAAAAAAGAAGAAAATTCAGGGGTGCGTTTGCGAAAATACTAGATATAATGTGATGAAATTGGTATAAGACCCAGGAGGGATCTTATCTTGGTAAAAACTCGGAAAATATTTTAAAAGTTCCAAAAATAGGATTAGCAGTAGCTGCGACACGCCCGTCACACAGATTTTATTGGAGGCAGCAGCGGAACCAACTCTGTCCTTGATGCCTGAAACGTAAAACGAGAATGGAAATCTTCGATTCTCAGCACGAAAATTGTTTTATCCTCCCGACCTCATACAAAGCTTCCCTACCTTCTATTAAAACAAAAAAAAAGTCTTCTTAGGAAAATCGTTAATCTTAATCGAAGAGTAAAATATTGTGTGTAATAAGCCAGTTTTATTTCTGCCCTATTCAGATCTATATATCACATTAATTAGTCTAAATTTAGCTTTCGGACTTCTTCAATTTACAATACTTTTTTTTGGATTTAAATATTTATTTACACCTGTCAACTTGTGTCGACAATCAACAAATGTAATGGAATACGAGAATAATGACGTGTCAGAAACAATGACAATACTTAAAACTCCGATTGCTTAGTCAAATAGAATCCATATTACTCCTAAAGATTTTTTTTATTATAATTTAAATCCCGAAATAAAAGAAATAAATGAAACCTGACAAGGTAGCATGGCAAAGTGTTGGATAGCCGATGGTATAGAGAACACATGTATATGTTGGATATCCGATGGTATAGACAACACATGTATATGTTGGATATCCGATGGTATAGACAACACATGTATATGTTGGATATCCGATGGTATAGACAACACATGTATATGTTGGATAGCCGCTGTTATAGACAACACATGTATATGTTGGATATCCGATGGTGTAGATAACACTTGTATATGTTAGATATCAGCTGGTATAGACAACACAGATCTGTATGAATCACGGAGGGTGATGAAGGTAGGTAGTAAGGCAAATAAACTGAAAGGGAATAAGTGGTCGTCAGTATCAATTACAACCAAAAGCGGATGATCAGAAAAATTGTGGCCGCCTATCCTAATCTATAAAACCAATCACCATGGCAGCCGATAAGGGTATTCCACGGTATTACTGTTGTACGCTTTTTTTTAGAGGGGAGGAGAGAGTTGGTTACGCTGAGCGAGTCGACGTGTGTGCAAATAAGGTGTTGCCCGGCAACCATGATTACAGTTCAAATCCTGGTACTGGGGAGACTATCAACTCTGACATGACTCCCCCGCCCTCACCCCTGGTCTGGGAAAAACGCCGTATAACCGAAAAGACGAGAAATGGGGGGAAAAATGTTATTTTTAAAATAAAATAGGAAATTAACTGGAAATATAATTGGAATTATTTGAAAATAATCATTATTTTAAACAAAATTTTCCATTGATATTTATATTTTTTTTCAAGAGAAATAAATAAATCACAAAGTTGGTCAACGTGACATGACACAAACGAGATGCTCACATGCCCGCTTCTTATTTTATTGTTTTAGATTATCATAATTATTTTCTGTAAACTATGAAGTACTGAATAATGAAATACAATTGATATAAGAATATAAGCAATATTTATTAATATGAAAAATTATTTATTTTGATTATTATAATTTTGTTTTAAATTAATTTTTCAACTCACACCTGTCATAAGTTCCAACGAGTGTGATATCGAGATGTAAAAGATTAATAGGTGTTGGAATAGGCGTGAGGGAGAAGAGATCCCTCATCCAGCTTCTTTTAAGCTTCCTTCGGGTGCTATCGGGCATGTTAGTTGTGGCCATGCCTCGAATCAATGAGTTGGTATGTCCGTGTAGGTTATTATGAAATCTTTTGTAGTGTGTTCGTAGGTGGTTGTTAACTGTTGGCATCTGTAGGTCTTTATGTAAAGTAATGTTACTGACGTATCAGGGAGCCTTGGTGATAGTCCTGAAAGTTTTTGATTGAAAAGTCTCGTCTATCTGTGTAACGTAGGTCCAAATGGGGTTAAGTAGGCAAGTATACGTATTTAATTTCTGTCTAAGTTTAAATTTCGAATGTCTTGCAAGGAGTGAGTGCAATAATTGTAGACTTAGGTTTAGAGTTTTTTTGATATAAGGGCTCCATGTCATTCTTCGGTCTAAGGTCAGTCCAAGATACTGAACTTTTTCTTTCTGAAGAATTTTCACATTGCCAAGGTAAATAGCAGAGCAAGTTTCACGTTGAAGGG